TTATTAGATGTAATTATATAGATAGTTTATCACTATATAAATTTTAATAAATCTTTAACAGGTTTTCTGAAGAACTTGATATTTTTAATGTCTTTTTATGTTTTTTAATGTAAGGTCTTAAAGCTTTTGAACTCTTAATATGCATCTATTTTTATTCTCTCAATGTTTTTCAGTATTTTTTCGTGTGTTGCTCTTTATGTTGTGTCTTTTCCTTAATATGTGTTGTTTTTAACTGTTAATATCTCTTCAATTGTATTTAGTGAAATTGATTGTTGTTCGCTTTCTATCATAAACTTTGCAACTGGGTTTTTTTCTGTAATGTGCATTTCCTTTAAATAAATAAATAAATTTTCAAACAAACAAGCAAAATTGTACATGATAGGGAGAAATGGAAGTAATTTTTTAATTCAGCGCTCTTTAAATACATAATTCATTAAAAATAACCCTGAAGAGCGGGAAATGTTTTTTAAATACCTGTGATAATTAATTATGAAGTACTTCCTTACGGGAACAAGAAACAAGCACCCCTTGCAAGATTTAATAAGTAGACGTCTTAACAAGCAGCTTAATAGAAAGGTTATGAAGTGTCTGCAAGTTCAAGGCCAAGTTGGAATGTTTATCGATTAGAAACGAAAGAATGAAATTATTGATCGAAAATCAAACTAGGGAATGCGCAAACTTTTAGAAAAAGAGAGAATTCAATGCTATGGCAACATAAAAATGCTTTTAGTCTCAAAGTGATTTTTAAGATTATGCGAAAAATATTTCGATCCATTTCATTTATAGGTCACATAAGCAACATGTACCGTTGGAGAAGAATTTGCATCGCGATCCTTTGTTCAAATACAGTCTAACATGGATATTCTTTTCTGTTTTATTTTGTGTACTAAAAGGATATGAAGACTAACATTTTTTTCTTTTGTGTAAAAAAAATAACTATCTTCTTACCAATTTTAAGGCATTTTCTTCTTATTTCAGCTTTATTTATTAATTCTTAAGAATTCTCGAATATTTATATTGAACTAATTTAAGATGCATTACAAGTTTCGCTTGATACAAATCCTAAATTAAATTGTCTAAGAGTAAATAAAAATGAAATACAAACGTAGGGCAAGTTATCTTGTTTACCTTAGCAGAATCTTATTTTCATTATTAGAAACACCTTTTTAAACTATTTTATCAAATAATATGCCAAATATTAGTTTACACGACTTTGTGCACTTTTTAAAAAGAAATTTGGAGCTCTACGAGTTCTCAATACAGTTTACTATACAATTATTCTAAAACCAAGTTAAAAACTAAAAACATTATTTGTTGTTTTCTTTTCAACCTAAGTTCTGCCTATGTTGAAAATCTCAATTTAAAATTCAAGTTAAATTGTTAATTATTAAATAGCAAAAAGTCTTAGTTTTTACTAAATCGCATGGAGAATTGTTGACTCTAATGAATTTTATCAACCTATTGAATTCACCTTAAAAATAAATAACAGCTGAAGAAATATCTAATTCAATCTTATTTCATCTGATTGAATTGGATAGGTATAAGGGATTTTTATGTATTATTTTTCAGATGCATTTAAAAATTGTATTATTATTGTAGGTTTAATTGAAAAACGGGTTTTTATTCTCGTAAATGTTAATTTTTTTTTATTTAGCAACATAGTAAAAGCTGTTCCGTATATTTAAAACCTATTTCTAAATTTTATGGACTATAAAGCAACAGATTAAAGTGATAATAACGGCTTTTTTTTAGTATAATGCTTACATCACTGCCTTCGGCTCACTTTTTAAATTAGCATATTGTTAAGGTCTACTCATGGAATTAGCATATGTTATTTAATAAGGTTTTCCGTATGCATCTTAATCAATATAATATTTTTCGAACAAAACAATTTGTAAATATCTTTAAAAATAAGCATGTTATTCATATGTATGTGGGGTTTGACTTAGTCTTACAGTTCATAATAATATTTTTCTTATATTTAATTACAGTTTTCGCACTAAGATAAATAAGGGAACGAAGCCTCATTTATATAAAAAGTTTTCTTACTTCATCAAATAGGCGTATAAATATATTCTTCAAAGCTTGAATATTTATTGGTCTAATAAATATTTCTGATGCCATTAAGCACGATATGCAAAATTTAAGCTGAAAATAATAATGCGTTTATCTGTTAAGGAAAATATATTAGTACTATTGTATTTGGACATTCTCTGTTATACTACAATGTATTCGCACACTACTCTCACTTGTAAAAAGAACAATCAAACTGTTAAACACTTACAAATATGATTATATATATATATATATATATATATATATATAATATATATATTATATATATATATATATATATATATACCCAGGAGTGCTATGATAAATGTCTAAAGCTTTTAATAGCGTAATAATTAAATAAATAATTCCTCTGTGAGTTTTTATATAAATTTTTTCAATACAGTACATCTTAGGGTATTTTATAATAAAATTTGTATTCAAATATTATTATTTTAAATGCTTGTAATATTGTTAAAATTTTTAACATATGCTAATAATGCCTATGAATGTATATTTTTAAATTGTTTTTCCCTTAAACTATTTCTGAAAATTTTGTATAACCAACTGATTATTGACTTGATTAATAATTTTATTTCTTCTTTGCTTGTAAGGATATATACATTACTCTAATCCCAATATTTTTACAAAATTTAACAATAACTAATGCATTTTTTTATTTACATCAGGTATTCCTTTTGACTTTATTAATGTTGAGGATTTATCTGATTTCTATACATTCCTTTCCTCATTAAAATGTTAATGATGGGAAAACATTAAAGTAATTGTTTTCAGTATTTGACTATACCATTAATTAATATATCAATATTAAGTCCCTATATTTTTTTTGAGTTTTTTCATCTCATTAAGGAGTCATTATTGAATAAAAATATTTTGCAAAAAACGAAAATAGATTTTTAAATCAGATATATTGGTGAAGATTTAAGTTATTATAGTACCATATGAACTTAGTAAGAGTGAAACAGAAAAATACCAAAAATGAAATTTCTCATGAAAATTTCTTAAAAATTTTAGAAAATGTTGGTTTTATATAAAATTGTCTTTGTGTATCATTGCGACATCGTAACTTAACTTCATTAACACATTGTATGCAAGTCTAATTCATTATGGGTGCGCGCATTTTTTCATGAATTTGTTGAGATTAATATACGCTATCCGACTGCTTTAATAACAGACTCAAAAAATACCATAAAAATACGTCTCGCATGCAATGCATTAAACGAGGTCAACTTTTCCTGTAAGCAAGTTTATTTTGGCTCATTGTACTGAAATTATCTATTTTTTCTTTTCGCTCTCGTTTATAAAGTAAGAATCTTCAATATAAGTGTAACACAGCTTCTATTATTCATTGGTTTTTTTTTTAATTTAAAAAGTTATATGCACAAGTAGAAATTAATTGAGATGAATATAGTATCAGGGCTGATGTCGAAATAAAAGCTATGTGAAGCTATAGTAAGAGCAAATAAATGGTACAAATTATCCCAGTGAGGAATAAGTATATATATAAATAAACCATTCATGATTCAAATCTATTCTAATAAACGAACTGTGCGTGTGTGAATGGCGTAGGGCAAAGTCAGAAAGTGCTAAACTCACGAAATTTGGTATGCTGAAACTTTGAGTGATTATAGAGTGCAACTCAAAGTGATTTTTCGAAATTCGCTTCTGAGTCTTTTGCTCAAATGTTGAAAAGATTTTTCATGTTAGTGATTTCACGGTTTATTTTTGCTGTCGACAATTTTTTGTTCATGCAATTTTTTACAGAGTGTTATATATTTTCCTCGTCATTATATTTATTTTCAATTATATGTATCCTTTTGTTTCTTCGTTGTAACTGAATAGCGATTCACTTTCGGATGAATCAACTCAAAAAAGTATTTTTCAAAAGATAAATTTTAGTTTGTATGTTCCATTCTGTCTCTGGTCTGCTTTTGATTTGATATAAGAGAAGCCTATTTTATCTTTTTATATATATTTCTTAACTTTAATAATTGTTAATGTCGTGATTTCTCTTTTCTTGTTTAAAGCTGACTGATATACATTATTTGTTTAATTATTTGAGGTAGTATTTTACGAATAGAGTATTTTTGATTTCTAAATGCTTAGTGGTAGTTTTGTGATTCCTAAGCTTAAATTGGCTCAAATATTATTGTGGCCTTCCTGTTGTAAGACTACTATTGATTTCTATGACAGTATTATATCTTTTGAGGATGGTACGGTAAGCTCAGTTAAATAAACATTTTACTTCACTCAGTTTTGAAATAATTTTCTCATGAAAGCATTGTATGTTGATTGCTTATTGATTAAACGTTTTGCTAACTTTTTTCATCAGGAAATGCATTTTCCAAGCTTTTTAATCCTGATGGCTTTATATTTATGTTTAAGCATAGGAAGAATTGTTCATACCGTGGAACAACTTTTACTCGAGCTGTTCCTCCGTACTATCAAACTTTTACCAAGGTCATCCAGAACTCTGCCAAAGAGCTATCCTTACCCTAAAAACAAGGCTGTAAATACTAAAAAAAATCGACTTTTATCACAAATTTCGAGAAATCTTTAAAAATGAAGTTCCATCAATATTATTTGTCCCTCAAATTGGGTAGTCAATTACCCGACTGAGTTTTAAAACTTTTTGGAACCATCCGATATACTTTCCCTGATTCAATTCCTACTATTAGTTCACTGTCTCCCTATATATATATATATATATATATCTTGTTCAAATTTTCAATCGTTAATAAAACACTTTCTATTCATCCATTCAAGCTCAAATACATTTTTTAAACTTGTAGTGGATGACACTTGATGTGTTAATACAGTTTTTAAAAATATTAATTCATTAATTCTATTTAATTAATGAATAAATAGTAACAAACAAAAATAATAGTCCAACACCATATATAAAAAGGAAAATTGCTCGTTGTGTCCCTGTAGCGCAATGTATAACGCATTGGACTTCTAATTCAAAGAATGTGGGTTTGAATCCCCCGGGATGGCCTCATTTCTGAGAATGTGATGTTTTTAATTTACTATTTTATTAGAATAATTAAATTTAATTAATGAATAAATAGTAATAAACAAAAACAAAAATAGTCCAACACCATATATATAAAGGAAAATGTGGAAAACTGAGGGAAAATCACTTTCTATTTTGTCATTTAACATTGTGATTCTGTTATATGTATATACATATTTATATTAATTGTAACTATTTAATAAAAAGTAACTAAAATAAAATTTTCTTTGTTGACCTAAGTAAGAATTGACTTACATTTTTTTTATATATATTACTTGTTTTTAAACTTAAAATTGGTACCCTAATCAACTTTTTCAGAAATCTAAATTCTCCTGCACTGTTTAATAGATTCAGACTACTCATTGCGAAATTTATACCCAAAGTAATTGAAACTATTATTCCGAATGTACAAGCCACTGGAAAAACATTTTTCATTTAAAAGATTTCATCATTTCATCAAATGTTCCATTCCAGCTCATGTGACTTCAATCCCCTATTCATCTCAGTTTTGCTATAAGAATAAATAAATAAAAAGACAAGATCTGATAAATCCTTGTTTCTTCTATGGACAACTTTATGTTTCTTGTTCCATACTAGGTAGAAAATGTATGCAACTTTGCTACAAATGAAAATACATATAACATCGTCTATCAAGAGCTTCTTAGATCACTTGGTAGCACTGAGTCTCCAATGGGTATAAGTTTATATATAATTGACATTGCTATGTTATGTCCTAAATCATTATTTTTCTGGAGTTAAATTTTAAGTTCACCACACATTATTTCGAAGATTATTAAAAGGCGAGCTCTCCTTTTTTAAACAAAAAAGCTTTTACATTTTTAAATATCTTACATTGGTTGGACTTGGGCATTCATTTTTAAAAAAATCTATAATTCTATCTGTGGATTGTTCAGTTTTGTTTTAAAAATACACCAGTGCGAAGAACGGTACTCCAGCTAGTCTTGAAATAAAAGCCAATTTATATTGATTACGATAATAGAGGGTTTGGTAGAATAAATTGATTTTTAATTCCTCCAGTCTTCCAATACTGAATGAAAATAGGAGCTTAAAAATATATGGTTTAAGTTCCCTGTTTATCAATTTCTGAAAGATATTTATTTGAGAAAAATCTCTTCTACTCATAGGTGGCGCTGGTGAGGGATTTCAGCGATTAAAGCCCGATGGCAGCATAAAAAATTTAAAAGTAGTAAAAACTGATGCTCTGTTGCCTGCTTATTGCGAGCCACCCAACCCTTGCCCCCTAGGATATGTTGGTAAGTAAATTTCCAACTTCTCAAAATTTAATGACGCTTTATGAAAAGAGTCACTTTTGTAACACATTTCACTTTTGTATGACAAACTTGTCATACAAAAGCACTTTAGAGTTGTTCAGCGACAACTTCCTTTATGTATTCAAAACCACAGTGATGTGTTTTTATTTTATTTTTTTATCATTAATTATATGTTTTAGTTGTTATTTTCTTTTTTAGCCGACGATGGATGTCTTGAAGAATTCGAAAACACCGCAGCATTTAGCCGCGAATACCAACAACACCAAAATTGCATGTGCGATTCCGAACACATGTTCGATTGTCCAGGAGCGACGCGAGAAAGTGAAATCGATGCTCTGGCAAGATCTTTTGAAAATGAGGGCCTTGCAGAATCTACTTTGGATAGATTTTTTCACGATATGGAGGTAAAACTCTTACCAAAATAAGGCCAGAATAGCACTTTCTTTTTTATCCTAGATTCACAGCAATTAAGATCATTGCATAATTACAATCACTCTAAGCAGTACAAAGCTATTGAGGCTTCTCAATAGTGATATCAGGGGTCTCAGGGGGAGTCTTTGTCTCGAGGGCGGAAAATATAAACAATTTTCAAATATATATAATTCTTTGAAATTAAGATTAAATAATTCAAATCTTTTTCACATTATTTATAAAGAAAAGAGGTTTCAAAAAGTACAAAATATTTAAAATATAATCATAATTTTAAAAATTATAAGCATATGAAAAAAGAAACATTTCTGTAATAAATACTAAGTAATTTTTACATTGCGCATGCTATTTTCTAAAATAGTAGCCTTTGATGTATAAAACTTTATAGAATTATAAGATGTATCATACTCTTTAAACCCTACCTAATTTTAGTACTATATATTTTTGTATTTCAAAATATTTAAAAAAATATTGAAATTTCAAAGAAAAAAAAATTTTAATGTGTAATTTTTTTTTAAATATAATTTACTATTCTTTTTATATAAAAACAGCTACAGTGTAATAAGGATAGATTTAACTTTATAAATTAATTTATTGCTAGTAATTAGAGCTACTATATTTTAGAAAAAACAATCATGCACAACGTAAAAATTAATTAATACTTCTCATAGAAATGTTTCTTATTTTCCTATGCTTATAATTTTTAAAGTTATGAATTATATTTTAAACATTTTACACTTTTTAAAGCCTCATTCCTTTATAAATAATGTGTAAGAGATTTGAATTATTTAATATTAATTTCAAAGAATTATATCTATTTGAATATTGTTTATATTTTCAGCCCTCGAGACAAAGTTAACACCCCTGAGACCCCATAAGTTGCATTACTTTTCTGGAATTCATATCAGATACCTTTAGATTTGAAAAGTAATAAGTCTATACTTTCAAGTTTTTATACTTCCTTCATAATTATATATATGAAGGTACAGTGGCGCACAAAGGGGTACTGGGGGTCCAGAGCCCCCCCCAAAGCCCTTGATTTTTTTCCGATTGCTATAATTCTAAGTATATAATACTGTAAAATTTAATTAAATATTTGTTATTAATGATTAATTTTATTAATTAATGCTAATTATTTATTCAATAATTAGTTTTTTACTGTGTTTTGTTCCTGAAAGTCGACAAAATCAAAAATAGCATGATACGAGAATGGTGAACTTTCAATCCCGGACCCCCCCCTCCCCCTTGAAAAATTCCTGTGTGCGCTACTGTGAAGGTATAATTTAATTTTTCAACTAATGAAGTGTGCAATATTCGATTGATGATCCTACTTCTCTAAAAATTAATTTAAAATGTTAATTGTTTAAGTAAAATCCATTTACTATGTTGTTCTGTGGAAAAAAGTTACAGATTTTGAACAAACATTACCTAAAAAATTAAGCGCATACTCTTACACCCTTAGTTTCTGTTGATAAAGCCTCAATATAAATCATAATTACATTTCTTAAAATAAAAAAATTATTTATAGGATAGTAATTATCAAAGACATGGTTTATTCATTTGTCTGTAGAAAAAAGTATCTGTACAAAGAGTTTTTTTCTTTTTAAATAGTTCTCTAAGACATAGACAAATGACTTTTTCCAATTTTTTCTAAAACATCCCCTTCTATCATGTGTGTTCTTCCAATGCCTATTATTTTAGTTTAATATGAATGTGATGACTCATGATATAAATTCCCTGCGCCTAAAACCCAACTATTTATTAATGATACGAATCATTTTAACACGCCTTTATAAGCTTCACTTGTTTTTATGATTGCTTTGATACAATTGAAACTTTCTGAAAGGAGTTTTTCTCCGTAGAACTCACGGCTTACAACACAATGCTCATGTTCTAACTCCTGCCTATTTAAATTTGCTTCCAACTGATATGCATAATATTTACAAAAGGTTTATTACAAGCACATCTGTACCGGTTGATTCAAAATTAGTCTGACCAATTTTAAAAGCATATAACTATGAATGATAAATTTTTATCGCTTTTCTGCCAGTTATATTTTAAAAATGAAACATTTAAATTACCAATCTAACTATTTTTACTAGTGGGAGTAAACTATGCCTCCTAAATTAGATCTCAAACCCGAAACAAAATTTTAAAGCTTTTGAAGTATGTTTGCTCAACTTCTGTTATACACTCATCGACAAAAAATTAGCGCACCAAGAAGGAGTCATCAAAATGAAACGAATTTTGCATACGTAATGACTACTTTGATATAAGTAATTGATTAGAAAATCAAAGAAAAGGATAATTTATTTCAGAGAAAAAGGCAAAAGAACGGAGGATTTAATACCTTGTTGAACCCTCCTAATAGCGCGAATGCACGATGCGATACGATCGGGCATTGAAGCATACAAGTTCTGTATGATGTCTTGAGACATTTCGTTCCATACCTCTAGTTCATTCAAACTCGTGGGATGCCCAACTCGCCATCCCAAATTATCCCAGATATGCTCGATTGGAGACAAATCTGGGGAACGGTCAGGCCAAGGAAGGTAGTAACAGTGCGGAGACAGTCTTGTGACACCCTTGCCGTGTGCCGAGCATTGTCTTGTTGAAAAACGGCTCCTGGGAGCCGCTGCATGAGTGGCAACACATGTGCTTGCAGGATGTCCTGGACATACCGCTGGGTTGTCATAGTGTCACGAATCAATACTACGGGTGACCGTGTATTGTAGCCAATGACACTCCATACCATCACACCAGCTGTGGGAGCGGTGTGTCGCTGCAAAGCAAAGGCAGGATTGAGGCGTTCACCACGGGGTATCCCCGCACGAACACTATTGTCGTCACTGCTGAGATTGAATCTGGATTCGTTACTGAAGACGACCTGGTTCCATTCCGCTTCAGTTCAATTTCCTCGTGAGTGGCACCACTCCTAACGGAGGCATCGATAGGTGGGCGTCCAGGACTTAATGGCGATCCCAAATGTCCTTCAGCCAGGTGCCTCCGTATGAATCGAGAAGACACAGGGGCCCCTAGTGAAAGTGATACCTGTACCTGGATGACGGCCGATGAAGCAGTTGGCTGTACACGTGCATTTCTTACGATGTGGCGGTCTTCTAGACGACTGGTATGTCGAGGGCGTCCTGAGCCTGGTCTTCGTGTAAATAACATCTCTCGGATTCACTGGTCCCAACACCTCCTCACAACACAATCAGAGCGGCCTAATTGACGAGCTACTCGCCTAGCTGACCACCTAA